CCCTTACACTCTCTGGTGGAACTTAATTATCACCTGCTTTACAGATAAGGAAAATGAGGCGCAGAAAGGTTAACTTGTCAAGGTAACCTAACCAGGAAACTGAGAGCTAGGATTGAATCTAGGTTATCCTGCTGCACAAACCGCATTACTTTTTTTTTTTAATTGTTGTAAAAACACATAACATAAAATTTACCACTTTGAACCATTTTAAAGTGTATAATTCAGTGGCCTTTAAGACATCCACAAGTTGTGCAGCATCAACTCTGTCTAGTTCCAGAACATTTCTTGACCCCAAAAGGAAACCTTGCATCCATCTGCACCTCCCTGTAGTTACTAAACTGCTTTCTGTTTGTATGAATTGGCCTATTCTGTCTATTTCACGTAAATGCCGTCTTACACCATGTGGCCTTATGTGGCTGACTTCTTTCATTCATCGTGTTTTCAAGGCTCGTCAATGCTATAGTATGTATTGCTACTTTAATTCCTTTACGTGTCTGAATCATAACATTATATCGTATGGGTATGTGACTTTTTTATACCACAGTCATATACTGTCTATTATAGCACATTCATGCATTAATGCCCATTTGGGTTGTTTCCACCTGTTGGCGATGGTGCTGCTCTGAAGATCATGTACAAGTTACGTTTTGGACACTTCCTGGGTATGTGCCTATGAGTGAAATTCCTTGGTCACATGGCAATTTTATGTTTAACTTTTGTTTTTTTTTGAGACAGTCTCACTTTGTCACTCTTGGTAGAGTGCTTGGCGTCACAGCTCACAGCAACATCAAACTCTTGGGCTTAACCGATTCTCCTGCCTCAGCCTCCCAGTAGTTGGGACTACAGGTACCTGCCCTAACACCGGGCTATTTTTTTGGTCATAGTTGTCATTATTGTTTGGCAGACCCAGGCTGGGTTTGAACCCGCCAGCTCCGGTGTATGTGGCTGGCACCCTAGCTGCTGAGCTATAGGTGCCGAGCCACGTTTAACTTTTTGAGGAACTACCAACTGTTTTCCACAATGACTGAACCATTTCACATTCCCAATCACAATGTACAAGGGTTCCAATTTCTTCACATACTTTCCAACATTTATTTTCCATTTTAAAAAGCTACAGTCAACCTAGTGCATACGAAGTGGTATCTCCTTATGGTTTTGATTTGCATTTCCCTACAGTGACTAATGATTTTACCATCTTTGCGTGTGCTGGCCGGCCACTGTGAATGTCTATTTAAGTCCATTGTTCAGTTTAAATTTTCTTCTCTTTTGTTGTTGAGTGTTAAGAACGTTTACATATTCTGGACATAGGCAGATACTGTATATGATTTGCTTATATTGTCTCCCACTCTGAGTGTCTTTCTACTTTCTTGAGAGTGTACTTTCATCTATAAGATTATTGAATTTTGACAAAGCCCAGTTTATCTATTTTTTCTTTTGTTGCTCATGCTTTTGGTATCACAGCTAAGAATCTATCACCAAACCTAAGGTCACGAAGATTTACCTTTGCATTTTTTTCTAATAGTTCTTTTTCTCCTTAAATTTATGTCTCTGGTCCATTTTGAGTTAATTTTTGCATATGCTGCGAGGTAGAGTTCCAACTTTAGTTTTTTGCATATGGCTATTTAGTTTCCCAGCACTATTTGTTAAAGAGATTATTTTTCCCCAATTGAATGGCACTAGCACCCTTGTTGAAAATCAAGAAGTATGGGTTTGGGGCGGTGCGTGTGGCTCAGTGGGTTGGGCGCCAGCCCCATATACCAAGGGTGGCAGGTTCAAACCTGGCCCCAGGCCAAACTGCAACAAAAAAAATAGCCGGGTGGTGTGGCTGGCGCCTGTAGTCCCAGCTACTTGAGAGACTGAGACAAGAGAATCTCCGAAGCCCAAGAGTTGGAGGTTGCTGTGAGCTGTGTGATGCCACGGCACTCTACTGAGGGCGATAAAGTGAGACTCTGTCTCTACAAAACATAAAAAAAAGTATGGGTTTTATTTCTGGACTCTTAATTCTGTTACATTTATCTATGTGTTTATCTTTATGGAAATACTATCCAATTTTGATTATTGCAGCATTTTATTAAGTTTGAGCCCTCCACATTTGTTTCTTTTCGTGATTGCTTTGGCTATGTGGGGCTCTTCTCATTTCCATATGAATTTTAGCACCAGCTTTTCTAGTTCTGCAAAAAAGTGAATTTTTATAGGTTGCATTGAATTTGTAGATGTTTTTCCATCTTAATAGTAAGTCTTGCAGTCCATGAATGCAAGATGTCTTTCCATTTATTTAGGTCTTCTTTATTTCAGTAATGTTTTGTGATTTTCATCATAGAAGTCTTTTACCTCCTTGGCTACAATTATTCCTAGTATTTTTTCTTTTTTTAAAATTTTTGCTGCTATTGTAAGTGGAACTGTTGTGTTAATTTCCTTTTTGGATTGTTTATTGCTAGTGTATAAAATATCACTGATTTTTTGTTATTATTTTAATGTTATATCAAGTTTGCTAAATTATTATTATTTTGTTTTTTTGCAGTTTTTTTGGCTGGGGCTGGGTTTGAACCCGTCACCTCCGGCATATGGGGCCAATGCCCCACTCCTTTGAGCCACAGGTGCTTTGCTAAATTGTTTTATTAGCTCTAATAGTGTGTGTGTAGGATATAAGGTCATGTCACCTACAAATAAATGTTATTTTACTTCTTCCTTTCTGATTAGGATGATTATTCATTTTCTTATCTAATTGCTCCAGCTAGAAGTTCTAGTATTTTGTTGAATAGAACTGGTGAAAATTGGTATCTGGTTCCCAATCTTACTGAGAAAGCTTTCAGTTTTTCATCATTGAGTATAATGTTCATTGTGGATTTTTATCAAGTGCTCCTTATGATATTTAAGAAATATTCTTCTATTCCTAGTTTTCTGAATGTTTTTATCGTGAGAGTGTGTTGGACTTTGACAAAAGCTTTTTCTTTTATTCTTTCTTTTTTTTTTTTAACTTTACTTTATTTTATTTTTCTCCTGGTTGTTGCAGTTTGGCCGGGGCGGGGTTCGAACCCACCGTACCCGGTATGTGGGGCTGGCACCCTACTCCTTTGAGTCACAGGTGCCACCCAACAAAAGTTTTTTCTGCATCAACTGAGATAATCATATTTTTCCCCCACATAGTCTGTATTCTTGACCACTAGGCCCAACTACCTCTCTTTTTCTTTTTGCATTATTTAATGTTATAGCTTCCTTTTTGTTCTTATGTCATAAAAATCTTCTTTCCATCAGAGCCATTACAGTTATGATTTCCAGAGGCTATGTGTTAATTTCCTCCATATGTTCCATCATCTGCTGATACTATTATGTTTTCCAAAAGTTTCAATAGTTTATCTATATCTCTGTTTTATCAGTAACAAAGTCCCTAGAACTGGAATTGTAGGGCTGTAGGGTATGGACGATTTTAAGTTATCATATATACTTAGATACATAATTTTGGCTAATTTTTAAAAATCAGTGTGAACTTCCATCAGCCTAATGTCCATTTAATAAAAGTAGTTGATGTGTTCTGAGCTTTCGGCTCCACAATCCCAGGACCTCCCTCTGAATTGGTTTGATTTTTATTCCCCTTGGCGTCCCAGCTCACAGCAACCTCAAACTCTTAGGCTTAAGCGATTCTCTTGCCTCAACCTCCCAAGTAGCTGGGACTACAGACACCAGCCACACTAACCGGCTATTTTTTGGTTGTAGTTGTCATTGTTGTTTGGTAGGCCTGGGCTGGATTCAAACCCGCCAGCTCAGGTATATGGGGCTGGCACCCTAGCCGCTTGAGCTACAGGCACTGAGCCAATGCTTATTATTCTTCTTGTTCCTCAGTCTACTCATTTTCCACACATACTCTAATCTTGGTTTTTTGTTCATTTTGTCTTCTGAATTAATAAGCCAATAGAGTCAAATGCAGGAAATACAGGTATAAAAAACTTACCAGCAAAACTATCAATAAAGCACAATTGTACTTTATTACTATTTGTATTTATTTCCTTTTTTAATTCTTTATATTATTCATTTTGTTTTATTTATTATTTGTTGCTTATTTATTTATTTTTTGAGACAAAGTTTCACTTTGTCACCCCTTGAGCGCTGTAGCATCATTGCTCACAGCAACCTCCGACTCTCGGGCTCAAGCGATTCTTTTGCCTCAGCATCCCGAGTAGCTGGGACTACAGGTGCCCCCCACACTTGTTTATTTATTTTAGAGACCCGGGTCTCCCTGTAGCTCAGGTTGGTCTCGAACTCGTGAGTTTAGGCGATCCGCCTGCCTCGACCTCCCAGAGTGCTGGGTTTATAGGCGTGAGCACGGCGCCCGGTCTTGTATTTTATTATGGATGGAAAGAAAAGGAAATCTGCAATCTGGTCAGTTTTGTTTTGAGGTTACGGTGTCTTTTCTTCATTTGGGTAAATCCTGAGTTGTGTTTTTAGGATTATGTGGAAATATAGGAACATTGGGACAAAATGGAACTCACACATAAAATGAATGTGGAAACATTGAGAGACTACTATAGAAAAGCATTTCTATGTATGTTCATTTCCACATTTGACTGGATTAAAAAATCCCTTATGTTAATGTAAAAACTTTGCAAAGAGGCATGGAGTCCACAACCAGCTCCTTCATTTAAATACTGTCACAAACACATTTTTGCATTCTCAGATAAAAGTGCTTAAAGGCCTGTTAAAATTGTAAAAGCAAGCAAAGTGAGAAAAGCCCCAAATCAGAATAAATATAAACGAAGACACTTATTAGATAAATGAAGACACTTACTAGGACATTTAAAGAGTCCCCGCTGGTTTAGCGCTCCCGGGAGCTGTAGAAGGGAAACTACCATTCCCGGAGTGCTTAGAGCGAACACCCGCGTCTTAGTATCAAACCCGGCGGCTCTAGTCCCGCCTTCTCGCTTCAGTGATTGGATGCTCCACTTCCGCGCCTCTGGACTTCTCTTCACCCATTGGTGGAGATCCCACCAGGGTCAAATACAGAGTTTGCGTTCGCTTCGCTGCTTTCGAACCTACCGCCTCTCCCCGCGTGCCAAGATGGCGGCAGAAGCAGCTGGTGGGAAATACAGAAGCACAGTCAGCAAAAGCAAAGACCCCTCGGGGCTGCTCATCTCTGTGATCAGGTGAGGGAGGCAGGAGGTAGGGTCAGGGGACGGGGGCAGCGGCTCGACTTCCGCTTTGGAAGGGAGAAGGGTTAGGTGGGTTCCACCCTGCCGACCCTTTCCTTCCCTCCCTGCCTCCCCCATCCCCTCCCCAAGGTCCCAGCCCCGCCCTAGGGGCCCCGCAGTTGTCCCTTTTTCTCTGGGGTTGGGCTTAGAGGGAAGAGCCCCGCCTCACAGTCTTTTCTTTGGGGACACAGCCCTCTGTTAGGGTCCCCGGGCGCAAGAAGCACGCTAATTTGGTTTGATAAGAGAAAGCCAGGTGAAGGTGTGTTCATTGGTTCATAAATGCTTATTTATTGCTTGCCTGTAGCAGCGCTCACTGCGCAAGGAGTCTTTTTTTTTTCCTGGACATCTGAGTGTAAGGCCCTGAAATCCAGAGAATCTTGTCATGAGTTGCAGATCGTGTTTTCCCACGCTGAGCACTTTAAACCACCTGTGAATGGCCACAGCCTCAAGTGCGAGACTCGGCAGTGAGTGGTAAAAGGACTGTGGTTTAAAGGCACACATCTGTTTTCGATGTTGTCCGGCCTTTTCCTGCCTTCCTATTCTAGTGTATTCCTTAAAAACGAAACTATTTTGAAATTATCCTCCGTGCACTTTATTTCCCCGTAGTGTTAGGGTGGTAGTGGGAGTGAGGGACTTTCACTTAATTTTTTTAAAGTGAGAGACTTAATTTTTTTAAAGTGAAATAAATTGAGGATGGATGAGTCCTATCAAGTACCATTAAGGATGTCGCAGGGAATGATTAAAAACAGCCTGAATAAAATGTATATAATGACACGTTTTTAAGTTGTTGGTATTTGAATTTCAATTGAGGTGTTTTTCATAAAACAAATGCTCTTACCACGCTTTTCCCGTCCCCCTTTTCCCCACCTATACTAAACTTTTGTTTGAGTTCCTGGAGAGCTCCTGGAATGTCTTCATCTTCTGAAACCCCAAGGACTAATGTTACCTGGTAGGAACTCAGCACGTGAATGAATAAGTATCGTAAACCTTTAAAACTGCTTAGCACTCATTGACAAAGACAAGGCGGGTCTTTGTTAAGGGACTCTACCTTAAGATTATGGCTTGTTAAATCATTATTGTCAATTTTCTTTTAGGATTAAGAGAATACTTCTTCTCTTTATGGAAATACTTAATACACTTGCTGGGCTGTACAGAGAGAATACTATTTTTTTGTGAATCTGCAGGCCCACATTCTTTCCTGTTGCAACGCACTGGTACTGGAGATGAATCTCATCATACCATAAGTCCAACTAGAAAAATTATAGTTTCCCATTGGAATCCCCTATGGAATTGTAATTCCTGTATGGGAATTTATTTGAATCCCTTTTATAGTCAACATTCATTTAAACAATAGGTATTTGGTGCCAGTGGCATTTGTGATATATTTAATAAATATTTGTTGAATGACTGCTCTGAATTTTGCAAAGATGAACCAGGCATGATGTTACCCTCAAGGAGAGTGTAGTTTACCTGGGGGTAAAATATGTAAGTAAAGACAGTGATAGGAGACTGGGAGAGAGATGAAAGGTTATGGATTCCAGGAGGAGTGGTGACTTCCAGTGGAAGTAAAGTGTGGATGAGAGGAGACTGGGAGAGAGATGAAAGGTTATGGATTCCGGGAGGAGTGGTAACTTCCAGTGGAAGTAGAGTGTGGATGAGAGGAGCTGGCAGCCATATACAAATGTCCCATCTCCTCTGTGTGCTTTAGATTCTGCACACAGATCCCATTTCATTTATGCTATTTATGTTTTCTCCAGTGCTGGTTACAAATTTACTCTAAATGTCACAATTTGAAAACAGCTTTCTTACTGATGCTGATTTCATGAGCATACATTGCCTTTAGTTGACCATTTCTTTGTGTTCTCCAGGGGGAGTGTCCCACCGCTGGATGGTGTGCAGTATGATTCTATGGTTATCCATCGATCTCTTGTGTCAATTTGTATTACCTCTATTGGGGCTATGTGTTTTTCTTTTTTTAAAAATTAAATCATAAACACATAGATCATGTATCCTGGAACATACCCTACTTAGTCAAGTATCTCAAGAATGGAGGAAAAAGTATCCTACATGGTTTTTATTTTGATCTCCGTTGTGTATTGTTGCTTTTAATTTTTCTTCCTTATCTTTGACCACCTCAGACCACTGAATAACACTTCCTTATATATGCTCATGATATAAGGGAGTGTCCAGCTAGCATCCTGGGCACATTTATAATAGTAAAGGTTGAGATTCATGTTTACATTGGCTTTTGCATTTCAACTTTGGAGTCCCAGGAATATTTTGGGGGTGGGAGTGAGGATGTTACTAGCTCTATCTCCTTGTTTCCTTCCTGATACGCTTTTGAACATACTCAGAGGTTTACATTTTATAAACAATGGCAGTGAAGAGAGGAGAAAGATGGTATTACTTTGGCTTTTGGGAGGGGAGGTGAGGAGAGATTACTGCAGAGAAGAACACAAAGGGGGAATGTGTATTCAGTTAACCCTTATCACTCAGAAGTTACTGCTTTGTATCTCTCTGTTCAGTTTGTATTCTTTGTGATTACCCTTCTTGCAACATTGTATTTATTATTGTTAATTCCTCATACAGAACTTTGATTACCTTCTCCTATCTTTTACCTTTTTGCAAATTCTTTCTCAAAGACCATCGCTTTCCTGGTTGCTTTGGCAACAAACCTCAAAAAGGAAAACCCATTTTAGGCTCTTGTTTATAAAATTTGGGAATTCCCGAGATGCACCTGGTACACACTAGTTCTTTCATGTTTCCACAGACCTATCATTTTGTCACAAAATAAGTTACTTATTAGTGATAGAATCCACTGTCTTTTGGAAAATTTTTATCAGTTTAGCATTATTCATCTTTTTATACCACAGAGCAGTTTTTCTTTTTTCTTTTTTTGGGGACAGAGTCTTATTTTGTCACCCTCAATAGAGTGCTGTGGCATCACAGCTCACAGCAATCTCAAAACTCTAGGGCTCAAGTGATTCTCTTGTCTCAGCCTCCCGAGTAGCTGGGACTACAGGTGTCTGCCACAATGACCAGCTTTTTTCTTTTTTTTAAGACACAATGTCTCCCCCTTGCTGAGGCTTGTCTCAAACCTGTGAGCTCAGGAAATCCACCTGCCTCAGCCTCCCAGAGTGCTAGAACTATAGGCACGAGCCACCACACCCGGCAGTTTTTCTTTTTCTTCAAATAGTGAATGCTAAAAATTCTTCAATTCCTTGCTCAGATGTGTTGTTATTTCTATACTACATCATGTATTATCATAATACTTTGTATTTTTTTCATGCTACTACTAATAGTTGGAACGACATTTATTGTTCTAATCATCTTTTAATACTGGAGTGAAAAAAACTACAGGTGGGATAAGCAATTGACTTGAGGACAGAGTAGGTCTAGATATGGGGAATATCCAAACCTAATCACTCTTTCCAGCCATTGTACTAAATAGTTAAATAATGACTGTATTTTTCTAATATGATAGCCTATCATTTTAAAGCATTTAAAAGCCAAAAGAATTTAAAGATGAATTATAAGAAGTATAGTGTAATTGTAATATAAGCATTATATTTGGTAGATATTTAAGTACCTTGAGACTTATAAATAAAATAAATAATTTAAAAAATATCGAATAGAAATATTTCAGGATAGTCGGATATTTCAAAGAGTAGATTTCCAGGGCTTTCTAGATGAGGTCCTCGTGTCTGTCAGGTGGGGCTTTGATGAGGGGACAGAGGACACTTGGGAGTCTACTGGAGGTTGCTGCTACTTTCAGCTTTTGGATTTAAGTCCTTGGAGAATGGAACTAATTAGATGGACAGAGTTCTGATGACCTGCTGGTGTGCGGTGGACAGTTTTATACACAAATACACAGGGAACATCTTCCTACTTTTCTATTGATTTTCCCCCTAAGCTTTTGTTTTGTGGGAAGTTGGAGGAATTAGTTTCTCTTTGGTAAGTAAGCAAGGTGACATTTTGGAGATATTTTATTTCTGTGAGTTCTTGTCAGATTTTTAATTGGGAAATGTGTCTACCACTTACTGTTAGGTGATTTGCTTTCCAATTAAGTGTTGTCTCTCTTTTCTTTATAAGTTGGCGTGGAATAGCCAGTTTAATTGGGAAGACAAACTTTGGCTGTGACTTAGGGAGACCTTATTGAAACCTTGGAACAAAATTTTTGAAGACGCACGGGTTACAGATGTCAAGGAGGTTTGAAGGCAAGGGAAGGCTCACCTTTTCATCAACTTTTATGTTTTCACAGAAGTTGGGATTTCAAAAACTTAGAAAATCCTTTCTTGTAGACACCTGTTAGATTTCCTTCCTCCTCAGAGAGTATTTTGGTCAGCCTTGTGTCTAATTCAAAGTAAACTTTGTTGGAGGGGTCCAGGCTTTGATCAGGGCTTTGAACAAACAGCTTTGAGGTTCGTGACATACTTTGTGGTGGGAAAGGAAAGTGGTCACTCTGTTGTTCCAAGCCAAGACCTGAAAGTTGTGTTAGGTGTTAATTTTCTTTCCAGCGTTAGCTCCTCTCTTCATTTGAGCCCATCTCATAATGGTTTTTAGATTTCTAGCCCTCTCTGTACCCTGGGAGTCTTGGCTCTAGCGATGCAGTGTTTGAAAATTGCTGTTAGAATACCTGGACGCTAAATGCTTATTAACTTTCAGGAAGTCTTGGGACATCTGACAGTGTGTCTGTATGTAAGAAGAAAACAATTCCCCTTTTCCAGCTAAACATGCAGAATTAATATCTTGGCGACCCATATCTTAATTTCTGTTGTCACGTAATTGTTATTTTTTCTTTTTTTGAGACAGGGTCTCACTATGTCATCCAGGCTGAAGTGCAGTGGTGTTATCATTAACTTACTGGAACCTTGAACTCCTGAGTTCAAGTGATCCTCCTGCCTCAGACTTTCAAGTAACTGGGACTATAGGCATGTGCCATCATACCTAGCTAC